GCCCAGGAGAGAGGAGTTTGACCATACTCAGAGTCCTTAGACTCCACATCCACCCTTCCAGTATCAAGAAGTGTCTCGACAATAGCTGTAAGCCCTAGATAGGACGCCATAAGTGTGTCATTGGAATCGGGAAACTCGTATCTGGTGCGTTTGTAAATTGCAGCCCACTTCTTACATACTACTGACCCTTGTCGACAAAGCATGCGTCCACGTTTCGCGATTGGATCTTCTCTTGAGACAGCAGCTCTCTGAAAGTGAACCGCCCAGAATTGTGCTGCATAGTCCATGAGCCCAGGGAGGGTATCATACATTCGGCTCAAGTACAGTGTGCATATCTCCGCCAGGACATAGTGCGATTTTTCTGGAGACAGGCTGTGCTTCCAACTACCTGCCCCAGTATCACCACCGGCCGGTTTCTGAATTAAGAACTCCCTTGCGGTCTGATGGAAAAGATATACCTTCCGATCTATCACAACCAAGAACAGGCCGCACAGTTCTCTGATCCTGGTCTTTTGTCTTGTCATGGTCGTCTCGGTGTCTTCATTGGCCGGTATTTCCTTTTTGATGTCGTCGATCGATTGCTCCGCTGTCTTGACTGCCAAAGACAAGGTTATCTCTTCCAATGTCAATGGACGCTCCGCCGCAGTTACAATATGGAGTAACTTTCTGGCCGCGCCATGATCTGAACTTCGATCCAGCATCTTGGTGTAAGCAGCATCGATATCTTCGGGAATATCATGGACCACGTGGTCCACATCCCCTTCAGTGAGTCCTGGCATTCTTTCTAGGACATTGAAGGTAAGACTGACCCATAAATATGTCCGATTATTAACCGAGGTGAGCTGCTCGATGATGGAATTGCGCTCATTTACTGTCAGGTCAAATTTGTCGCCTAAGTCTCGAACCCTTTCTGTAATGACCAAGTCAATCTCGCTAGAGATCTTCTCGATGTTCTCCTCATTCTCGCCGCTCAAACGAATTGTAGGTAGAGATTTCTCCAGCTTGAAGAAATCGAGCCGGATGTGGTCATATGGGCGACTTGTCATCAGAAATTTTAGGTTGCGCTTGCCAGGGTTGTTAAGGAATAGGCGCTCTATCGCTTGAATCAGAGTCGTCCGGTCATCTTCAAAGCACTCGTCCATGGCATCGAGCAGGATGATTACTTCGCCGGCGTTGACATCTGGAGTCACGTAGAGAAACATATTCCACAGTTCATTGAAGGATTCGACGAGCTGCTTCCCGCTGGTCTCTGACTTATCCAAGAGCGAATCTTGGACAAGATGTGGTTGGGCGAGTAAGAGTTGGCGGAGAATGGAAGCAAGTGCATTTGTGGCTCGCGTTTGATCTTGATAACCGTCTTTGAAGAAGAAGTAACAGATGGTTCTTGTTCCGCTAGGCAAATATTCGTCAGCCAAGTATCTCGTGAGGACTGACTTCCCGCAGCCTGGCTCTGCAGACACCCAGAGAAGTTCAGAGTTCACACTTTCATTCCACCTGGTGAACTGAGGATGATTCGTGAACCATTCACATGTTCCTGGCACACGCTTGCCATTTATATCTTTGCGATCCTTGTATGGGCAGGTATACAACCGCTGGAAGAGATTGACTCGCTTTTTATCCTTCTCAGACACAGTTTGCCATACCTGTATCTGTTGTAGCTTGTCCTGGAGAGCGTTCAGTTGGCTATCGACCTCTAAAACACGCGCCGAGGAAATGATGTCCTTAACGCGAGTGTCATATCGTTCGATATCTCCAAGTATTCCGTCCCACCCGTCGTGCTTTGACAAGTCTTTCAGAAGCTGTCTTGCTGTTGGTTTACCTAGATAGCAAACGGCCCGAGACTGAAATTCAAGGACTTTGGCACATAGATTTATCATGTCACTCTCGAGTGATCTTCTCAGTTCGACACCTAGGCCAGTCTGACGGGGCAGGAAATGTTGTTCGATCACTTGGAGTCGAGGTAACAAGGAGGAGATAGAGTCCAAGCCCCGTAGAACGCTCTCATGTTGTTCCATAGCCTGTATAAATAGCTGCTGGAAAGTTAGCAGAGCTGACGGAACATGGATAGAGGGACTTACCAAGAGTCCGGCCGTAATACCGGCACATGCTATGGCAGCGGGAGGACTGGCGGCTGCAGCCGCATTGACAATGTCCTTGACCAAAAGAATATTCCGACACACCTTGGTCAGTCTTCTCCGCTTGTCATCGTGGGCGATATCGTCTTGGATGGTCCATTTTTTGTCATCAAGCCGCTCAGTCGTCACATTGAGGAAGGTGCGGAGATCATTCACACGGATGGCGTTCCCATCATTTTCGGACTTCAATCCCAGTCTGGAGTTGAGAATATGAATTGATTCCACCCATATTTTGTCCAGGGTCTCGTCTTTTCTGAGAAGCTGCTGCGCCTCGAGCCAAGGATCAAACACTTTCTCTATGGTGGAGGAGTGGGGAGGGGCACAGTACCCATTGGTTCTTTCTGAGCCTGTCCTAGACCGATCGTCCGCAGTGAGCTTGTCACTCTTTCTGTTAGATCGTCGACGCCACGGCAGGCAATCCCTCCACTTCTTTCTGCTCTTTTCCCCGCGGGACATCGTTCTGATCGCTGTCCTGATTGAGGGTAACGAAATGAGCTGTGGGTGACACAACTTGAGTGACGGGCGAGTGTGCATTTATCTTTCATGCCTGATGATTGAGCGGGGCTGAACGACAAGGATGTACCAGCTTGTTTCTAGCCAGCCACTGCCCGACCTGCCACATGATTGGAAGACCGAGATTTCCGCGACGTCAATCATTGCGGTAGTCCGCAATTGGGCTTTTGTCTTCATACGTGTACGTCCCAGCCTAACATAATCGATGGCTATGCGGGAACCGCCCTACCACTATCGAGCGGTTTTGAGGCAGTTAACTATGGATAACTATTTATATCTGTAGTGTTGGGTGTACAAGGTGTGTATTCATACTCTGACCCCTCGCAAATAAAAGCGATATGCAGAACCTCCTTATCTACCTCTCCCTACGTATTCCTTACATACATTGAACCATTACTTTGATTGGGTGTCTCGTCAAGGCCTATGTTGGCCTAGTTACCTGGTGTTCTGTTCTGCGGCCCCCGTGGAGCGGGGCTTCGAAACCTCTGGGACGCTTCTGCAAAGTCCAGTACAGCCCCGACGGTCCTGTGGTCTTGTTCAGAGACTTGTGCCTTACCTTCCTTACCTTGTTGCTCTACTAGCATGTCTGAAATGCTGTTCAACGCAGCTCTAATCTGCCTCCGCAATTGTTGTCGCCGGTCTGAGTTTCGGGCAGTCCACCAGTACGGGGACTACCGTCTCGCGAGCTCCACAGATACACCGGTCATCGTCCTGGAAACCATGTTTTCTTCCGGTACGTTGCCAGCCAAGAGTGACCTGTCCGAAGTTGTGCAAGCAGAAATGCTCGGTTCTGTGGGAGCGATCCGTACAGTCATTCGGGTACGGATTGCCGGCAGGAGTTTGTCGATCTGGCGGAGGTGCCGTAAGGTGCCCTTCTCTTTGAAGACTGTATTCATCCTTCCTTCCACTCGAATAAAATACTTCTTCCGGACGAAGCCCTTTTCTCGCGAGAGAAGGGCCTGAAAGGGGTGCATTTTCTTCGGGCCTAGCGCTTCCATTGCCAGCCGGTCGGCCTCATCGTTTCCGGGGTCGTCGATTTGGCCAAATCCTACTTCATACATGGAGCTGGCGAGATCTACCTCATGCTCAAGGTAACTCAGCTGCGGCTGGAAAGCGGTCCGTGCTCTTTCTTCCTCGGAAAATGAGGCTGCCCCACGAGAGGGGGCAACCTGCAAGAGGGGGACCGTGATGTGGCAAGACAATGCGGCTTGATGGGATCCGTCACACCGAGCGCTCTTCTCCACCCGAATGATTGGTCGAAGGTAGGGGAGGATGGCAGTGAATTGTGGGCCTCTTACAGGCACCGGTGGTTATTTGCCCGGCTTGCCTGTAGAGCAGCACCAACCGTGGAGTCGGATGGCAATGCCCCTTCCAACGCCATGCAAGACCGATGAAATCAGCCCTGCTAGCAGCAGTTGTTTCCGCCCAATGACTTGCCCCTTCCATCACACGCAAGGCGGAAAAACTTTTTGGGTTGACCTTGGAGTGACGGCTTTATTCTGACAGTCCCCCACCGCATTTCTCTGCACTAGTACAGTGCAAGAGCCAGAAACGCTTAATCTCCTAAGCTTCCCCCTATCAATAGACGTTCGGGAGTTTTACTTTGTAGACCAGAATCTTCATCAAGATAGCCAGTCTGGTTTTAACCCTCTTATCAGCACCTGGCAGACACTCAGTTAGACTGTATAAAAGGCAGCTTTCATTGGCTGCGGGATCCCCTCCGGGTGGGCCGAAGCGGCCAATAAGCTGCGGCTCATCCTGGCACTCACAATACCGAAAATGGCCGCTCCGACACACCAGCTCAGCGACAATTACACCATCACATGTTGAGATAGTTGCTTCAGCTTTTCTGACACTGAAGCTCGTTGCTAATTAGAAGGCGCAGTTCCGCACGTGGAATATTTTACAGTACGACGTCGGAGAACTGTCGTCAGAATCGCGATGAAACCCATATATCGCTAGTTGCAGTGGTGCCAGTCTAGATAGGTGAACGATTGGGACATGTTTGTAGACAAATGTGCGGGAATCCAGACGAGGTTGTTCGGGTCGTTGCATGATGGGTGTTGCGGTGAGAAAGTACGCGTTTTGGGGTCACGGGATGCCTGACGCGTGAGTGAGCCGAAGAGGTGGGCCTTATCCGAGATGTTGAAGACTTGGAGTCCGTTAAATGATTCTCCATAAGCACCGAGATTCGCTGCGGTTGACAATAATTATATTCCCGCAGGCGTGCTCTGCATCCGGAACCCGCACCGCAGTACTCACCATTAGCCTGTGCTCTAGACGCTCACTGCTCACCAAGTCCTCATCTCATGAGCCGCCCGGATCGTCACCCACAAAATCACTCTCACCGACTCTTTGGTCGGTTGATACGTTACCACCCGGGCTGGCAATACGGGGCGGCCAAATTCATGCTACAAACAGGGCTCCTTGGGCAATTTGGAGCTGTACAGCAAAATGAACTAGATGAGGCAGAGCACCGAGGTTCAACAGGTATATAGATGGGGAAGGGGACTCGGGGTGCCCTAGGCGAATGCCCCGTGGAGCCAAGCCCTCGATTTAGGCAGGAAAGCCACCTCTTCAGAGGACCATTCCCTGTCTCTCGTGGAGGTTCCACGGTGTTTAAGGAGACTAGGTGGATGATCAACCTCACCTGCTGGTTTCTCTCCTATATTCATTGATATTTCTGTACCCAATTCAAGAAAGGTGCGTCTTGCTGCGCCTTGAAACAGCCAACTGAGGAATTGCAGCTGTTCGTCGGCGGATGCAGATAAATAATGAGTATAAAGTGCTGAAGACGATGTATCTTCCTCCGGACTGGATATAGGATGTCGAGCTCGCTTTGACGGCTGTTTACCGGTCGGTTGTGATTTCCGCTTGCGTAGTTTCAACCGTTGACTACTGGTTAAGGGTTCCGGCGGGCTATTATGCGGCGAAATGTTGGCTTTGCTATTGTTACATGGTGTTCGCGTATAGCTTTGGCCGTGTAAGCTAACTGATTACAGATTGCTATCCTGCTTTTCGGCCTCCGTGTTTGAGTCTGAGTGGTAAACAGATGTGTTGTACAGAGTGACCCGGGGGGGGAGGGAGTTCGGGGTACAGAAAACTCGTCTCTGATCTAATGAAATAACTATTTTCAATCTGGGTGTATGGACTGCAACTCTCCAATCATCCATGGTCCGTCGTCGGCGAGGATAACCGGGGTAATTGGAATGTCATTGTATATATTAGACAACGGCCGGCTGTGCTCCGAATTGAGCGTGCTGGGTGATGAGGCGATGACTTGAAGGGCGGGCGCGTCAGTCAGACTATTCATGGTTTTTGATTATCCCATAATGTGACTGAATCTGACACGTTACTTTCATGATCCCCTGCAGATTGTTCAGGCTTCTCTGGGTGTCGCGTATCAGGCAAAGTGCCGGATGATGGTACAGGAGACTGCCGTGGTGGAAGTTTGGAGCTAGAGAATGTGTATGAGGGGTCTTGTGCACTTACACCTACGCAAGCATTTCCGGGCGGCTGTGGTGGGAGTGGATGCTTGGGCAATGGTAAAGTTTGTGGCCTGGCTTTGTTACAATGCTTAAAGATAGAAGACTTGTTATATGGACTGTATGAACGGAGAAAGTCGGAAGGCGGATGTTGCTTGTGATGAGGGAATCGTTGTGGGAGGAGCAGATTGTGTAGGATAAGGGATTTGTGTGAGAGGAGGGAAAGCCTATGGCCTTAAGTTTGCAAAGTGAAATGCAGACAACATATTGCAAGAAACGGGGATATCGGGATCTTTGGGCAGGGTTGACTCTGTGAATATTTGGAGCTGGGAGTGAAGGATGGAATGGGACCAGTGTGAAGGAGGGATGTGTAGGCAGGCAGGGATTGGGACACAGGATGTGGTGTGGGAATGGGATCAAGTGATAGGGGAGTTGTGCAGCTGATGAGAAAATTGAATGGTAACACTGCGACCTTCGCGGATTCTTGTATGTCCTCTCAGTGAGACGGCCTTGCGCACTGAAGGAACGCTGAAATGAAAGTTTCTTATCCTAAAGGCTCGTACTCTGTAACTGACGTATTGACCCTCGGTCAGGGAGTGCTGGGATTGAGGGCTCCCAGCTAATTGCAGCCAGCATGTTGCCTCCAAGTCGTGTATGGTTAAAATCTCTCGGCTCTACACACAATGAATACGGTTGAAGCTGCGGCAATTTTGTTATTGGGTGATGGTGAAGGCCAGATCGCACTTTGGTATAGGCATTAATTCTGGTGGGTTGAAGGCATGCGTTAATGGGATAGCATGTAACCCAGGCTAGGTGAACTAGCAAGCCTTCCGGCTTGTAGGATTGACGAGAGAGGGTTATTCTGGCAGAACACGGGATATTTCCCCTACCTGGTGACTCGAAGCCTCGTAGATGACAGAGCTATTACGGCGGGCAATGAATCTAATGCTGGACTCAAATTTCAGCGAGAAATTAAATAATACATGATACCGAGACATTCGAAATCGGCTTCCGCCCCAAACACTCTTTAATTGCTTAGAAACCCCACTTGTAGATCTTTAGCACCTTGGCAGTTATGATGATGTTTTGTATGTTACCAGCACTGTATAATTCTGGAACTTTCGATTTCTTAGTGACATAGCAGTACAATACAGGCAACTGGTTAGTTAACGTTAATAAACGTGAACGTAACTCCCGGCCGCATCGGCCACCCGCCCGCGCCGGCCACCCAGTACACCGCCCTAGAAAGCCCAACACGTTCCTACATGCAACCACTCTTTTTATCAAAAGCAGTGAATTAGCAATGAGTAGTACAATGATTCTAGGGCGGTGTACTGGGTGGCCGGCGCGGGCGGGTGGCCGATGCGGCCGGGAGTTACGTTACCCTTTATGTCTTAATGGATTGGACGTTACACTGTGAAGGCCATGAGTTCCCAATCTTGAGTGCAATTTCCATAAGAAGCCACCCGCGCTGATAGAAGGGGGCAGAGAGCCTTATAATCGCATGTCGACAAGAAGATAAAAGTTAGTGTTCAAATTCGGCTCCAGCCTCGTGGAATAACTCTTGTGTTACGGTAAAGTATGGCAAGATCCTTGCCATACTATATATAGCGGACCAGATCCTAGCCTGGTGCACATACTATTAAACATCTATCATATCATACACAAGTCAAACATTCAAACCTCCAAGATCACAGATCATTAGAAGGTCTTCCGTGTAAAAGCCATATAAGCCTTCCAAGGGAGCTTCCAATCCGAACGGAGAAGTTCAGGCTGGAAGATATCGAAATCGTGACTCTCTAGTCTATCCAGCCACAGCCGCGTTCCAACGGCCGGCATAAACACACCAAATGCACGATTGACCTCCTGTAGTGGGGTCTCATTCTGGGATTGGAAATCATACTGATGATCCTTTTCATGGCCGTGCTCAAACTCATGCCCTGCATCCTGCCCAGCACGAATATTGCTCAACATCTGCTGCACGGTAATCAGGTGATCGCTGGCCCGAGTGGCAACCGTGAAAACAGCATCCCGTAATCCTGGCGCCTCACTGCCCAGGCGGAACACCTCTTCTTCTTTTACCCCAGCCTGCGCCATTACATCCAATGGCAGCATTACGGCTCCCTGCTTTGCTCCTCCGGCCATTGTCGTACCAGCCTGGTCAGGACGCTGAGTCGATGCGCCCGGGAATGCCACCAGTGGCAAACCACGGAGTACAGCTGTGATACCGGCTGCCTTTCCAATATGCGATGCCACATGGTCCGCCGTTACGGATGTCATGGGCAGTGCTGAGAGTGTCAAGTAGAGCAAGGTCGAATAGGTGCTTTCCGCATAGGATTCGAGGGCAGCGATATCAGGGTACGGGTCGTTGGTAAGAGTCTGCTCGCGGGCATTGATCATTCTATTCAGCCAGCCTTTGCTAATTCGCGCCCGACCTTGCGTTCGTTCGGTGAGGTCTGAGATGGCGGAGGCGAGGAGAATGGCAATAGGTTCTTTCGGGGGGGACCCGGATAGTGTTTTGGCCATTGCATCGCGCCAGAATTGAAGGCGCATAAGCCCGATCGTGTGGGATGAGGTGGTATCAGGGATTAGGGAAAGAGAGACATTAAGAGCTCGAAGAGCGATGTAAAAGGTTTGCGCCGTTCGGGGGATGAAGGTACTGAGGGTATAGGAGGGACGGTCATATTGTCTGGCATGAACATAGACTGTATTAGATAGGTCGCCAGCCAAGATGGGTAATCGAAAAGACTTTACAGAAGAAGATTCGAGCAGTATTTCAGTGCTGCTTGCACTTCAGCTTCACTTGCTCCTGTCACTGGGGCGGCGACAGCGCGAGATTGGCTGAAACAGCGTTCTTGCGATCGCTGGACCTTCTGACGGGATATGCTGCATCGAAATAGCGGTTGCTGGGTTATGCGGCCCGACCGGATGACGTTCTTGGAAAGAGACATTTTGGAACAAGAGAACTCTCACTAGTGGCCGGGATAATTATCAGTATGATTAGTATTCCCGCAGTGAGCACTGGTTTCTTCCCAAAGCGGTGGATGCCGGCATTACCTCGCTCCTGTCACGTGCTTGACAGGACCGTTTGAGACTGGGCCGAGTCGTTTCGATATCTTCAGTAGGGGATCGGGCAAATGTCACTTTTTGATGTTGATTGCCGGCGAAGTGGGTATACAGTCTGATTGAATCGCTGTATCAAGATCAATGAGAGAATATATGTTGAACGATGACCAGAGGCCTGTGTCCGTACAGCATCATGTAGAGCATCCTATTTAGGATGCGGTATGCAGAGCGGTGAAAGCACTGACAACTCAAAGGACCAAACTTCTGTATCTTTCAAGACCACATGGTGCATTCAGCTTCACAGAAAATAGTCTACTGTGCGTTATCCACCAGACTTATGTGTGCCAATGACGCAACGGCGCAATACAATCCTGCTAGTCATGGGACCGTTGTCTCAAGTGGAGATGCCGATGGAAAGGGTCAGTAGTAGTCCGGTCTGGTCAGTTCTGGTGACCGAGTGTCCCCGACCGAGGGATTCACCTCCTACGTCCAGCAACTCCCCCGCATTTCGCTCTCCTTGCGGCTGGACCATCGATTGCCCCGGCTGAGTTGCGGCGTCTTATAATAGCGTGTCTCCGAAGATGACATTTGACTAAGTTCCAGTTAAGCTTCCGACTAGATTTCCCTGCCATAGGACATTCACAGGAACTTGGTTTCGAAACTGCCCGGTAGGTTGTTGCCGCTGTTCCTCGAACAGACCGAGGCTGGCTGTCGTCGAGTCCGGGGCAATTCATAATCTTACTAGCCTGTACCGCCCTGATTGAATGTGTTCCCTTACCGCTAGTAATCCTGATACTGGAAACAAAACATCCATCCATTCACCCTTTGGGTGACGGCGAATACCCTGAGGTAGCTGTTAGACTACCACTTACCGCCGATGTTGTATGTGCATTCATGGCTTCCCTGCTCAAGTGGGTCCGAGCATCTGTCTACTCTATTCTCGCAGAGCTCTCTCAAACACCTCGGTGCTTTCCAACTACCGGATTAGCTTCGAAGAAGAGCACTTCAACTCCTACAGGAATGGCCACTACTAACCTATTAACATTATTGACATCTCCGCTCTCTTAAGTGTCAGGTCATCGGGAAAATAGAATTTGGATCCTCATCTATTGCTTGGCTAGCCCAGGATCTCATCTCCAGTCTGTTCTTCCTGCTTCATACAACCAACCTGCGGACTGTGGCTGAGTGATATGCTGATTTCATCACTATGTGACTCTCAAGGTCTATTCCTGCGATGAATCTCATACCCAGAGAGTCAGAATACATCAGCACATAAGTCAAGCCAATCTATCCCATCCCGGATACGGCTAGGTACGAACAACACTCCAAACTTTGGTACTCGACTCATGCGGATCTGGCTGGGGTCATTGGTCTTCGGGGTCATCCGCCGTTGAATCCTTTGTAATGGGGAAAGCGAAGCAACGAGTTCTTGACTGAAAGATATGTTGTCCTAGTATCTCGAAAACGATTGGAATCAGACTGAACAAACCCTGTAAGATAGTGAAAGCAAGACATCACCATCTCGCATACCGGAGAATTTAAATCGTCGGAGAAATCCCTTGAGAAGAACAACACAAAGGCTTTCTTACATCTCATGGGAGGGGTAATTCAAGATAGAAAGAAAGACGGCAACGGAGCTGTTGCGGGATCCGTGGCTAAAGGGAGAGACAATACAGCCTAGAAAATGCTGTCGTAGCCGCAAATCATGCTTGCAGCTGTACAGCTCTAATGGAAATATCAAAACCGTTCGGTACCCCATGGGGCCGGTGCCAGACCCAAAGCATCAACTGTGAAGACTTCAGAGGCATTATCGTGATGGCTTGAAATTGGGGCAACTCCGTCCCCACCGGCCCAAAGTAAGTTCCTCGGCGATCCGGTTGACCACATTACCCATATTACCGTCACATACGCAGCATCCCCACCAATCAGCGGAGCCAACGGGAAAGATCCACCTCAGCCATGACAATACGTGACCATCCAGCAGTCGGCTGATCCTGGCTTCCATTCAGCCGAGGTATCTTTCCTTCTCTTGATCTTCAACTCGCTCTCTTATCTCATGTGGCCTTTCTCCCTGCTACTTTTTTAGCTCACGCTCCTCTCCTCTACTTTATACCCTTTGCTTAGCCATCTCTAACTCTTCTTCTCTTTCTCATCTTTTCCCCCCATCCCTTCACAACCGCGAGGCATGTTCGCGGCTTCGAGCAGAACCCGTCTCTCCACTCTCCCCCGGACCCGTCTCTCCCCCGCCAACTCGCTCCTCGCCAGATCTGCCGTCGTAAGCCTGTTCCCATACCACCAGAATTCGTGAATAGTATCGGCTAATTGTGATTTCTACCGCTTAGACACCCATAATGGCACCCCGTCGCAAAGCATCTTCGGTCCCTGAGGGTAAGCAATCACATGCGAACTCGGTTCGAGATCCGCTATTGACACGTTGTGGATGGATAGGCTACAAAGAAGATCTCTCCAAAGGCAATATGCTCAGATTCGAAGACTCCCTCCCCCGCCTGCCGGTACCCTCTCTGGAAGAAACGGGCCGTCGCTACCTCAAGTCCGTCCACGCGCTGGTCTCCGAGGCCGAATATGAGCGCACCAAGGAGGCCGTCGACGCCTTTGTTCGCCCGGGTGGTGAGGGTGAGCCCCTGCAGGAAAGGTTGCTCGCCCGCGCCGCCGACCCCAAGGTGAAGAACTGGCTTCTTGAATGGTGGAATCACGCCGCATACCTGGGCTACCGGGACCCTGTCATCCCCTACGTTTCGTACTTCTACTCCTACCGCGACGATCGCGCCCGGCGGGACCCCGCCAAGCGCGCCGCCTCGGTTGCTACCGCCGCTCTCGAATTCAAGCGCCAGGTGGACGATGGCTCCTTGGAGCCTGAATACATGCGCGGCCAGCCCATGGCTATGAGCACCTACCAGTACATGTTCAACTGCTGCCGTATCCCCGGTGACAGTGTCGATTACCCCCAGAAGTTCCCGGCTCAGGACAACGAGCACATTGTGGTCGTGCGCAAGAACCAATTTTTCAAGGTACCTTTGACCGTCAACGGCAAGCTCCTGAACAACTCTGAGCTGCAGCGCCAGATTGAGCGCATCTACGAGGTTGCCCAGCCCGCTCCGGCGGTCGGCGTCTTGACCGTCGCTAACCGTGACCTGTGGGCCGACGCACGGAAGAAGCTGCTGGCTGCGCACCCGGCCAATGAGCAGGCATTGCGGGACATCGAGTCGAGCGGGTTCCTTGTCTGTCTGGATAATGCCACTCCCGTCACACTGGAGGAGCGTGCTCACCAGTATTGGCACGGAGATGGTACCAACCGCTGGTTCGACAAGCCGCTGCAGTTCATCATCAATGACAATGGCACCGCTGGGTTCATGGGCGAGCACAGCATGATGGACGGCAGCCCCACCCACCGCCTGAACGACCACTTGAACAACCTCATCTTCAACCACAAGATCGACCTCTCCGAGCAGCCGGTGCGGTCCGACCTGCCCGACCCTCGTCCCATCACCTTCCACCTGGACGGCCCTGTGCTGGAGGCCATTGATGCCGCCAACAAGGAGCACCGCCAGCAGATCTCATCGCACGAGCTCCGGGTCCAGGCCTACCAGGGCTACGGCAAGGGTCTCATTAAGAAGTTAAAGTGCAGTCCGGATGCGTACGTGCAGATGATCATTCAGCTCGCTTATTTCAAGATGTACGGCAAGAACCGCCCGACTTACGAGTCTGCCTCGACCCGCAAGTTCCAGGAGGGCCGCACAGAGACCATCCGCACGGTGTCGGATGAGAGCGTTGCTTTCTGCAAGGCCATCAGCGACCCTGCCGTCCCCCGCGAGGAGGCTGTCCGTCTACTCCGCTCAGCACTGGCCGCCCACACGAAGTACACGGCGGAAGCCAGCGATGGCCGTGGTGTGGACCGCCACCTGTTCGGTCTGAAGAAGCTGCTGCGTGAGGGTGAGAAACTGCCTGCTCTCTATGAAGACCCCGCATTTGCGTACAGTAGCTCGTGGTATCTATCAACCAGCCAGCTGAGCTCGGAGTTCTTCAACGGCTACGGATGGAGTCAAGTGATTGACGACGGATTCGGCATCGCTTATATGATTAACGAGAACAGGTAAGCTCCCCTACCCATAAGTCTTGATCGTTGCTGACTAGTGGTTTAGCTTGAACTTCAACATTGTGTGCAAGCGCCTTGGCGCAGAGCGCATGAGCTACTATTTGAACGAGGCGGCATCTGATATGAGAGACATGCTGATGCCCGACTTGGCTGCCCAGAGCGAGAAGGCCAAGATGTAAGATAGATAGATACCTATATACCAGCGATACACTTTATTTCAGACTACAATTGAGGATATACACGTTCATAAAGAGCAGATAGATACATTATAAACCACTCATGTCCAGAAACATCTGAAACAACACAGTAATACTATATTTCCGCAACAGCCGATAGAATGATTTGGAAATCATAACATATTAGCTCGGAGATATTTCCTTGGCATACCAGTATATTGATCCCTCCCTCCTCGTCACCTTTTTACCGTATCTACAAATCGAATGGATCTATAATGTCACTAATCTTGCATGTGATTCTGTGCTCTGACAGTGTTATGATATGTTGAGGCGCGAAATTACTAGCAAAGCAACGAAACAACGAAAGACCAAGCGAACGAACGCGAATTGCAGCAACAGAGTGAGTTGAATTAGTAGCTATCTAGATGCTCTAGCAAAACAAAGCAAGAGGTCGTTTGTGGGCGGCCTGAGCGCCAGGCACATGACTACACCTACTACAGCAGTTGCCTCAACACGGCCCTCTAGGTGAAGGAGCGTGCAGAGAGGTGTTAAATGAAGCCGTAGGTGTTCCCTAGATAGGCAATCTTCCGCATATTAAGCATCTTATCCAGGATGCTGAGCGGGAGGGGTAGCCAATGGGGTCATCACTAGGAGGCTACGGAAGGCACGAAACTTCTCCCGATCCAGCGGGTTGGTAAGGCCGTCTGCAGGGTTGCAAACGCCTGCAATGTGTTGGAATAATATAACATCCGATCTGATGAGGTCTGCCACGAATAAGTAGCGGTTATCTAGCCATCTGGTGGATCGGGTGTAGGTGCCGTGGTTAAGGATTCGTAGCCAATTGGCAGCGTCGCTGAACAGGGGTATCTTGCTGGTATCCGATATCCTGAGGTCAAACGCCTGCGCCAACTTCTTGACATACAGGGCATCATCGTACGCGCAGTATTCTGCAACGGTAGAGGAGGGTGCAACAACGCTCTGTTTGTTGGATGACCAGGTGATAGGGC